GGCTGGTTCAGCAGGTAGGTGAACTGGCCAAATTGTTCACCTGTAACAGCTTGGATTCGGGTCGCGCCCATGGTCAGCCTGGACTTAAAGTTCATCCCTACTGGTGGTTTGACCATGAGGGTCTTTGTTCAGCCAATTCCTGATACAGTGTGACAACTGTCTTCTCACTTGTACTCCTGCCCACCTGAATTCTGGCAACCAATGACGGCATGTGTCTTAGCCACCAGTCAACCAATAACGCTATGGGAGCTGCACAGCATCATTGGTTGCTAAGGACACAGACAGGGTGGGGCGGGCAGGCGAACTGGTCAAATGGTTTGGCAAACGGCAAACTGCAAACAGCTTGGGTTCGGGTTGAACTCACGGTTGACATGGACCCAAAGTTCATCCCCACAGGTGATCTGGCCATAATGGTCTTTGTTTTGCCAATTCCTCATACAGGGTGTCAACCATCTCCCAGTTGTGCTCCTGCATTGTCATCCTGTCAAACGTGACCCTTCTAGAGGGTAAAAGTGGCCCCGGTGACACACATTGCACATGCCTGGCCCACCATTGTTACTATTGGGAACCCTGTCCAAAGCAATGATGTGCAGTGGACGTTGGAATGAATGCATGTAGAGAGGAAGAAGCTGAAAGAGGCTGAAGGAGATCACTGAGAGGCAGCTAAAAACAATATTTTATGGAAAAACCAAACATAATATGTTTGGATACACGAGGCTTTATGAAACAAAATGTTGCCTTGGAAGAGTTTAGATCTACTTTGTGTAGCCTAAGGATACAGTGTGACGACCCGCCTTCCCTATCGCCCACCTGTGTGTAGCCCAGCTCATGCAGTGCCCCTGGCAACAAAGGGTATACTGTCAGACTTCAGAGAGCTGGCCTCTCGTCAGTAATTCTGCTCCCTTTGAAATGAGGAGATTGGCTGAATGCATGACAGCTTTCCAAATGACCTGAACATCCCCCAGGGAAGGATGCAGCCTCATGGACGTTTGTTGTGTGCAGCTGGACAGTCAAGTGTGCACAATTACGACAGTGTGTGCTCCTTTTTTTATGTCTTGCAGATGAACACCAGAGCCGATATTAAGCTCCCATTAAAGAGCCAGTTCATCTAAACTCGATGTTTCCTCCCACCTGCCCTGGGGATGAGGGAGGTTTTCCTCCCACTCTTGGCTTTCCTTAAGAGAAAATGCACCAGGAGGGGTAAGACTCTACGGGGAAAGGGCTGAGCCAGAAACTCCAGCGGGGAGACTTGGCTGCAGGAATATCAGCTTCCCCATTTTCCCCGCGCCCCTGTGATCCGGTACACTCTTTTGGCACCATTAGCAGATCACCAATGGGCGAATGAGAGAGCCAATGAAAGACTTTATTAGAAATAAAAATACTACCCTACTACTTCTCCCATCGGACTCGTAGAAAAATATTACAAAACAGCTCCAGGAACAAAGAACTAATTTGGAAGATTTGTCGTCGGAAATGTTCCTGGTTTTCAAAACTTGTAAAAATGTATCGTAAACCGGATTTTCCTACGCTTTAGATTCAACTCTGATCAAATATGACTAAAGCTTACCGGGAAGGATTGCTTAATGGCGAACTTCGGCCAGCCCTTTAAAATGACCTTTGGGTGCCATTTTCCTCCAGTAAGGGTCTACTGCTCTTTTAGTCTGGGGGGTGTAATGCAGAAGAATACTTCCCTTATTCCTTGCTCCTGAAGCATTTTCCTTGTCAGTTCCAGTATGGGTGACCAGTTCCTCCAAGCCATTCCACTTAAATGGTCCAGCGAGGTAAAGGGCCCCCCACATTCTGGGAGCAAATCAGAAAAGAGCCCTAAATTTCGGAGGAGGGAAGACTAGGGTAAGTATTCCTTTGCTTTCCTCACCCCCCAGACTAAACAAGCAGGAGACTTGTTCTGTCCCTTACCAGTGCCATTTCTGGGTGCAAGAGAACCGTTAATCCAGCGTTGTAGATGCATCTGTGCCGGACCATTCCTGACAGTCCCCAAGTGCTGATGTCACTTCTGCCACCAACAGGAATTTCCAACACTCATGAGCGCCACCTATAGGAATTTCCTATTCTCATTATCGCCACCTTTAGGAAGTTCCTATACTTGTCAGTACCATGAATAGGAATTTCCTAGACTCGTCAGTGCCACCTATAGGAAATTCAAACACTCGCCAGAGCCACCTATAGGAATTTCCTATCCTCCTCAGTGCCACATATAGGAATTTCCTTTACTTATTAGCGCCACCTATAGGAATTTCCTATACTCATCAGCGCCACCTATAGGAATTTCCTATACTCATCAGCGCCACCTATAGGAATTTCCTATACTCATCAGCACCACCTATAGGAATTTCCTTTACTCATCAGC